AAGAAATTTTGTTGAAATTCATTGTTTTCGCCTCTTTCCACAGCTTTTTCTTTCTCAAATTGCTATTTTTTTTACATACCCTGGCTGCCCATTAACTCATCTAAAAGAAAAAGTTTGTTTGAAAGCCAGAGTTTATCTCTGGTCTTACTGCGCATATGGTTTATTTTAGGTGCTCGCGTACGCTTATTTTCAACCGAAAATTGCCAGGGAATTGGGGGGTTGTCGCACGTAAAAGTCCCAGGAGTGAATGGGTTAAATAAACAAATAAATATAAACTGTGCGATAGGTTGTGAGCTGAACTTATTTTTCTCATCTTAAATTATGGTCAGTCGAGCTCGGTTATGGTCAGTCGAGCTCGAGCTCGGTTAACACTTATTGAGCTCAATAACATTTTACGTTGTCCCCCCGGAAAAGTGAGAGTCCTCAAGTTCACCGAGCTCAATACTCAGCAAGCTCGCGAGCTAGTTATCAACATATCGAGTACGGTTTCCCGAGGTCAATTGTTGGTCGAGGCTGGTTGACATATCGAGGTCGATGAACCCATATTGAGCTCTGTTGCCCACTTAACTTATATGATCCCAGTGAGGCAAGGGACCGAGAGAACTAATCTTGATGGTCCATTCCGCCTCAGAAAGGTCAATGAAGGTCTGGCATTCTGTGATGACAGCCTCGTCTGTTTTTCTCAAAGATGGTGTTTTGCGCACTTGGCACACTGCTTTACTAATAATAATAATAGTAGTAATAATAATAAATGTCTCGTTCAAATACATAACAACGTTACACAGAGTAAAGGTGTACATGAAAATCGCACTGATCATTTACAATTATTATATAAAACCTAATGAAACATTGGATATCTATATTGTTAAATTGCCAAGTTGTATTGAAACCTTATTCCATTAAAATAGCAATTCTTAAAGCGTTCTGTATTAATCCATGGTAATTGACTTGTTTGTGATCTTTACTTCTTGGATGACTCTCTGACTTTAAGCAAAAGGGCATACAATGGATGGTTAACATTGTTCTTAATTTTGGTGAACAACCAGCGGTCACACTTCTCTAAAAGGTCATAGATGTTAATTAACTCAGAAGTGCAACGTCGCTTATTGCACCTTCTTAAAAAGCATTGTATGGTGTTTAAATCTACCTGGCTGGCTCTATATACTGGAAGTGCCTATGTGATCTTTGGCAGAACAATAGCCTTGAAGAGATGCTCTATCTCTACCTGTGTGTATCCATCTTTTCTTAGTGATCGTAAAATGTACAAACACTTGTTTGCTTCCCGAAGCTTTCCCTTAACATGAGATGAAAACTTGCAGTCGTTTTGTAATATGACACCTAATAGAGTGAAACTGTCACTCTGTTCTATACCACATAGAGGGGGGAAGTTAAGTGTGGCACCTTTTTTAGTCATACAAGGTTCTTTGCATTTGCTTGTGTTACAGCTCATACCATTAACCTCTGTCCACTCCAAAAATGCATTCATTGCCTTTTGCGATTCATCTACACTATTCTTACGCACAGTTACAAGAATAGAAGTGTCATCTGCATACTTAGTAAGATCGCTATCCTTGCAGTACTGAGTGACGTCAAGATCGTTTAAGAACAGGTTAAACAAATACAGGCCGCTGACGCTTCCCTGAGTAGTACTGCGGTTGACATCCTTCCAATCACAGACAGCATTATGACAGACCACTCTTAGTTTTCTGTCAGACAAGAAGCTGACGTACCAGTTGACAATGTATGGGTTTAAAGGGCTCTGTGTTAATTTCTCTATTAATAAGTTGTGCTTGACTCTGTCAAAGGCTTTTGAAAAATCCATCGTAAACAGCCTGACTGCTCTGTTATCGTTGCTATCTAAAGCTTGGAGAAATTCATGCTGTATTTTAAGAAGCGCGTTTGTACAACTGTCTCCTGTTCTGTACGCAAACTGGTTATTATTCAAGTAATACTCCACACCTTCTTTACCAAAGGTGTTATACACTACTCACTCAAAAGTCCTAGCAATTACCGGTGTAACGCAGATTCCCCTAAAGTCCTGAGGCTGGACTGGAATGTCTACTTTGGGTAGCGGATAGACATTAGCTTGCTTCCATGCACTGGGCCACCTTTGAGTTGACAAGGATAGGTTCCAGATTGCTTGCACTGCAGGTGCCAGTATGGCAACGTTCTCCTTCCAGACCCAGCATGGTATATTATCTGGTCCGGTAGATGTTTGCTTTGTTTTGAGCAGAGCATAGTAAACCTGGCTCAGTGTAATCTGTGGTGCAGGAATGTTTTCCGTATTGTCCATGGGTACAGGTCTGATATAATCTTCATCGTGACATAAATTTGCAAAATAATGATTAAGTTCTCTCACAGAGTCCTCGTCAAAGCCTGGGTTGGATCTTTCTTTTCTCTTTGACAGCACATCGACCTTTTTCCACCAGGCCTTAGAACCCATCTTTCCACACGCAAGCGATTTACGATTTTCTGTAGCAATCGCGTTAATTCTTTCTTTAAGATTAATTGGGCATCCATTCGGGCTGCGGCATTTAGCCTTGGCTTTTTTCTTAAGCAGAGCTTTGGTCAGCGGAGTCATTCATGGTGGATCACGCGTGGACATACACTCAGTTTTAGATGGGAAGTTTTCATTCATAAGGTCACAGAGCATTGATTGCAAGTAACGAGAAGCAGATTCCACATCTTCGCTGTCAAAAATAACGTTCAGCTTTGTTCGAGAAGTTTTGCATGAAACGCAATTTTTCTCTGCTCCCTGTTATCGTGCATTGTGCATTTGTATCTCATGGGCTTAAGTTTCGCGCCTGCAGGCACAATAACGCCTCTGTGATCAGTCTTTATTTGAGCTTCAAAGGGATAACACTTTGAAAATAAGCTGCAATTGTTTGTCAGGCAGTTGTCTAGAATAGAAGTGCGCCTCGTGAGGAAGTCAACCAATGCTGTGAGACCACTTAACACTGAGAGTTTGTCGAGATTCATATTATTCAAATCGCCACCGATCATAACAGTGCCATCCGGAGAACCGTCCAGGAACAGATCAGATATGTGAGTTAGATAAGAGATCAAGTCATCTTCTATGTATCGCGGTTTCGTGGGATGATATAGGCCGCACATCATTATTTTATGATCTGAAGGCAGTTGCATTGTAATGTAAATGCACTCAAAAGTTTCGGA